AATAACATAGCCTCGAGAAACAGAACACGCTGTCTTACAATCTAAAATCTTACCGAATTTGATAGCTTGGGTTTCATTTTAAATGCGCAAAAAGCTTGTTTGTAAATATTTACCAGGTATGTAATAGATATGTAATGTAAGTGTCTGCCAGATATGCCAGATATGTAATGTAAGTAACGTGCTATTATCGCAATAGCATTTCGCTTTTAGCCGAACAGCATTAGAGTGCTTATTACTGTCACAGCTAATATAGCATAAACGGAAAAACGAATACAAGTGTTTGACTTATAAAACGCTATCCGCATTAAACAATGAAAGCTTAAGTTTAAATTGTATAGCACAATTTCAAGGAACATAGGTAATTTCAAGAAAATATACAGAATTAAAATTTCTTTCGATTCATCTAAGGATGATCATAAACTTTTTCAGAGCTCCTTCGAAATTCGGACTGATGTTCCGGTTTCACATTTAGAATTGCCGCCAGGGAAATCGTCGCATTTCCCTATTGTCCACTTCATGCCTGATAAGACCATTCAACAGTTCTGGGGAAGGATGCAATTCTCGGCTACCTGTTCGAGCGTTGTTGGGGCACTCAAATCCCAAAACGCCACTCAAAGCAAAAGTAGATTTATTTCACTCTGTCTAAAATGCGATTCGTTTTGCAATTGGAAACTACTGCTATTTGAAATAAAACTAATATATTGCAAGTTCTCCCCGACATGTGTAAACTTTAGATATTTACATTTCAAAACACTTCCTCTTACCGCAGAAATTTTGTAGTTGACTTCAAAGTGGATATATTAAAAATGCTGCACAGTTCTTACAAAAAATGCTGGTTTTCAGCGTGCATATTTTTTTCTTTATTAGTTGATCCCTTAATTTTTCAATGAAATGATTATCTTTTTCAAGAATAACTTTTCAGCAGGTTTAAAAAATAATTTATTAAGTCAGTGCTCCTGCGTGATGCTTTGGGACGAGGGTGGTGCTCAATTATTTTTCATAGATATTTAACTAGTGTTTTAGCACATAAATACAATTTAAAATGACTGGTGCCAAAAAGGATATGTTAGCAATTCCTTCCTAAAATTTAATATTTTTTGGCGTTAATATGAAAAGCATTTGAAATCACTAAAAAAATAAATCAACTTTTTTCCTCAATAGTTTGTAGTTTGCCTTATTTAATGCGGCAGACATTCCAAGGCAATCAAGCTCTGGAGGAAAACGTATCATTTCATTCACAGTTCAGGTATTCATGTTACATATAGGGAAAATCATAAAAGCTTGAGAAGGCAGCTTGTTTTATAAGGTATTTCTTCCGTCTTCTTAGCATGCTTTCGTAGTGCAGTTGTCTGTACGCTGGGCGCGTATTCCAGAGGTCCGTGGTTTGACTCCCAGGAAAGGCGTTGCTCATTTTTCATCACTAGTCCTTACCCATCTTTCAGTGGTGCTGATCGCCACATTCAGGACAGCAAAGAAAGATTTTCTCTGACGGATCAAAAATTTCAGTACGAGTAGGGGCAGCGTTCACGGTCTTTTCGAACAATGAAGAAATTTATCAAGTAAAATTCCATCTAAGCAACCGCGCTTCAGTCTTCCAAGCCGAGTCCCTCGCTCTCGAAGAAGCAGTACTATGGCTAGGTACGCAACCAGCAGCTCATACTTCAATCTTCACAGATAGCACGAGCGTTCTGAATGCACTGAATTCCTTGTCTCCAAAACATCCGCACACGAACAGCACTTAGAGAGATCCTCTTGACGTTAGGCTCCTCCATCCCTTTAAAGATCAACTGGAGAAAAGGTCACTCCGGGCAGACAGGCAACGAACGAGCTGATGAACTAGCTAAGACCGCAGCTCACAAACCAGAAATTGACAAGGAAGTTCCGCTTTCAGCAGAAGTTGCAAAAAGGTTCCTCAAGAGAATATTTCAAGAGATATGGTCATCACGATGGCAGGAAGATGAGACAGGAAGACTTACTTACAATATCTTCCCGATACCTACTCCCAAGAGGCTCAAATGCAACCGACTCTTCCTCCAAGCCTGTACTAACCATGGAAAACTCCCAGGATATTACAGACGATTTCTCAGACGGAACGTCAACTGTTCTTGACGTTTTCGAAGGGAAGACGCGGACGCACTTTATTACCTGCTCTCCTGCCCTCAAACAGAGAACCTTCGACAGCAGTTCTTTCCTTCCGACTACATCACATGTCCTGTGAATAGACTGTTCACGGACTATTACTGCAACAAGGGCAACTTAGAGATAATGAAGCAAGTGAAAGAAAATAATTATATCTAAGTAACTGAAGATTAATGTAAAATTTAGAAAGTTGGCCTAACCGTCAGATTGCTAGCAACGACTAAAATGACTTCCTAACCCTGTAGTGCCATTAACTTAGTTTGGCGGAACAGGTTAAGTAAAGTGACCATATCACTCCTGTTTTAAAAATAACCTAATAATCTACAGTGGTGCCCGAACTAAAAGGGTGGTGGATGATAATTCTCCATAACCAGGATTTGGCGTCCCCTAGAAACCCCAGTTGCCCTTTAAAAGGGGAGTATATAAGGTATTTCTCCCACCTTCTTAGCATGCCTTCGTAGTGTAGTGGTCTGCACGCTGGGGGCGTATTTCAGAGGTCCGTGGTTCGATTCCCGGCGAAGGCGGTGCTCATTTTTCATCACTACTGCTTTAAAAATAACCTAATGACTTTACGGTTTAATTACCAGTAATCAAAACAGGGAACTCACTGTTATTGTATAATGTGCTTATCCAGTACATCACTGAGTAATTTTCTCTTTTTGTTCGATAGAATCGTTAAATAGTTTTTGCAATCAAAAACAGTAAACTGATGCCGGAATTTAAGATAATTTGCTGAGGAAAAGGCAGACTTAGTAGGTGTAAATTCTCACTGCTTATGGTACGGAAAAACATAAATCGAAAATGGAATCTGGATACTAATGCATATGAATAAAAGCGAAGTGTCGTTTGACTGTTAACTGAATAGCTGGAAGAGAAAGGAAGTTTTGAATGGGTATCTAAATAATCACTGGGTATCTAATATATTGTCGCGTTCTCAAAGATTTGCTTTTAAATAAACAGTTCAATGATAAGGGAAACTTCCCTTTTACTAAGTTGCTGGAATAAATACACTGTACGTAACAGATGAATAAGAACAAAACCTAGTTCCATCCTGCTAAAGATATCTCGGAAAACATCTCTCTTGCGACGAAAGAAGGGAGAAATGTGATAAATAAATATTATCGCTTAAGTTAATCAGCAAAATTAATAAAAATAACGTACATTTTGACGCTGTTCGGATTTGCATTAATTATAATGGAGCAAGTTTCCTTATTAATGCGCTTAGAACTGAATGATCTGAAGTCTTAGCTTTCATGTTGCAAGATGTGGTGATTGGAAGTCATTAACGTTAAAAAAATCATTTCAGTTATTTGACATTAGAGAGATATCATAAGAGCAGCACAAATTGCTGTAGTAAGATGATCAAATGGCTACTTTCTCTTTTTCCTTTGTTTTTGAAGAAAAATATAAATAAATAAGCAATTAAAAATCAAAACGAAAACAAACATTGCAGAGTTCTCCACAAATTGAGAGCAAAGATTAGTTTTCTAAGAAATAAAAAAATTATATTAGTGCAAGATGTACAGAGGAATAATTGAGCAACAGTTGACTTCTTGGAATGGGCTATACATAATATTTTATACAAACTTTGCACCAATCCCCTATACTTTCAATGGATTGACCAACCTAGCAATGGCCATTCCTTCATCACGGTAGTTTTCAAGAGTCTGAGACTGGGTGGAGGAAGTAAATGTGCAAAGACAACATGTTCTAAGGTGCCTTAAAGATTTCAATAAGATTAAATGCAAATAATACAGCGGGCATTCCATATAAGGAATGTCTCACTCTCCAGGTACTCGTTAACGATGTTAACTCGATGGTGAACAGACATTACCATTCACACGGAGGCAATATTTTCTTTTACTGTGAAAGCAAAGAAAGTTTTTATGATTTGCAGAAAACGCAGTATTATCCTTTGTCAAATGATAATTATTACTGTTTATTCATGTAAAGTGGTGCAGCATTTATAAATCACACACTAACAACCTCCCACTGGTTAAATTCACAATGAGTTTATTTTTCCATGAAACTTTTACAGTTTCATATTCTGGTTCTGGACATTGTAATATAAACTGTTGTACCTAAGTCACATACTTTCGTACCAAATAACTTTGAGAATCTTATCTAAGCTAAAATGGATCAGCTATTCAAATGAGGTACTGATAGTTACTCAACGAAGTACTGCTCTTCCTTCGAGCAGCTATAACTTTGCCTTCGTATTGTCACCGATACAATATGCATCGGCGAATCCTGCTTTCGTTTAACGATACATACTTCTCGAACTCCGCATGGGGAATGAGTCGTCATCAGTTACCTTTTATCTACTTCTCAACAGTGTCCAGGACGATCTCAATGCCTTTTCGTTATACAAATTCCAATTTGAAATCTAAATTTTAAGTCGCCTCCATCTCTAACTTTTACCAGATATTTTTTAATCACTCTACATATACAAACGGTGGTTAACCATGAATCTGCCATTTTGTTATCAGCAGTATAATTTTGCTCCAGCATTGTTTTATTGCTACTTTGAGCACTCTGAAATATATATATTCCAGTATATATATTTTTTCCCAGAATTAATTGTAAGAAAATGTTAAAAATTTTACGAGTTATGAGTTCCTAATTACAACTGCCAGTTTCTAAATTGAAAAAAATGAAGTATGTATTACATGAATAGAAGCTATTTGGTGAATGAGTTTCAGAAATTTAAAGCAATAGCTAATTTTTTGAAAACTTCAAAAGCATTTATTAAAGCATGTTATTTTTAAACTCTTTCGAACTTACAGCTTACAGTCTTTTTCAATGCATATTTAATTTGCATTCTCATTTCAAAGATTGATGTGCATAAACATTTAACTTACCTATAACCTTCAATGTTATAACAGTATTCACTGTCCTGGCTTTATGGAAATCTACTCTGCATCTGTATTCTCCCGCGTCTTCCTCTTGCACAGGATCTAATTGTAGAAAGGCTGGTCGGTTGATCATATTAAAATAGGCACGATGATCTAAGGTTGATACCGCTACCTGCCTGGCTTGCTCAAGTGTCCCTTGGCGAGCATCTAAAGTATATATTGGCGATGGAGCCTCATCTTTGTACCACAAGATCAGTGCAACACCATCGTCAGCTGAAGGGGGCGATATGTCGCAAGGCAAGGCAACTTTTCCTTTCACGACGGCCGTGTACAAAATTGAAGCTGAAATGAGAGAAGAAAAGAAAATTAAATAACTCGAGCGCACCATTCAATATTTTTATAATTCATTTTACAATTATGTTAGTGCAATAAAAATACTACAAAATTGTTATAACTCTTAGAAAACCGAAGCCTTCGCTAAAATATATGCTTGAAATACCAAATCGTCCATCCTCGTGCATTACCCAAAACGTCGTTTTCCTCCTCGCCGTCCATTAACGCACAAAGAGGTGTGAATATTTCAAATTACATCCTTTCTACTTTTTAACAAAGAAGCTTTCATTAGCCTTTGAGGAAAAGACGTGTGCATTTCGAGAAACTGCACTCGCTCCTGCATATCTTAGTGTGGGAAGAAAACAAAATCGCAATCTCTGTCGTTTGGGGCGGTTGTGGTCGTTTGAATTAAAGACCATCTCGGATGTATTGGCTTTCAAAGTGTTATAGCTATGCGTCTCTTGTGCAACTGATAATATCATAGTTTTCTTTTAAGAAACAGAATAAGATTGTGAGATATTTTCTCCCTCCTTAAAGCTTACTTTCATGAAGCTATTGGAATGCAGATCAGGCTAGCATTCGGAAGGTTCGGAGTTCAAATTCTGGTGAGAGATTGCTCATTTCTTCACATCCTGTCTCTAAAAGAATCAAAATACCTAATGGTTTTTATAACTTATTTCTTGACAGCATAGCTTTCAGGTACTGAAAGCTGTGTCAAGTAACATCGTTTAATAACAATAAATTAAATTTTTTAAGGAAGAATAAGTGACCTACTAAGTGTCTCTCCGCAGAGGAGGAAAATATGCGGTAATGTAGTGTAATAAAAATTTTCAAAATTATACGATTTCAAATTCCTTCATTTTTAAAAACAAAACATAAAATATATTTTTAACTTTTAAAATATAATTTTATTGCTTTAGAAAAAGACGAAATGCAACATTTTTTTAAAGATGTTTCAAATATTTATTAGAGTTGATGAGAATAATATCTATTGGATTAAATATTTCTTGAAAATTACAAAAAATGCATACAAATATGTTTCACAATCCAGAAATTCTAATTAACGCCGATTCATTACGAAATAAATTTCTAGAAAGACGAATAAAAACAATTGACAAAAAGAAGAAAATAAACGCAAGGATTTCCGAAACTAAATTCCACAAATCCAAACTGAAAAAATATAAAAACAGGAGCATTTTTAAGGCAAATTATTCCATTTAATCTTTCCATCTTTTCTATTTCCCTTATTCCTGTCGAATTATCACAAGGGAAAAGAAAAGTAAAGGACTAGCTACAGAAACTACATACATTTAACGCTCGTATTTGACAAGATTGTCATGTTTAACTTTTGTAACACTGTTATCAGCGAGATCTTGACTAGTGTTCCAGTGGGAATTATCAACTCTTGTAATTAAATAAGAAAATCGATACTTGCTTTTGCATGAAAAGAGAGAAACTCGTTTTCTTCCATGTCGTTTTTCATTTTTAAATTCGACTCAGCGTAAATATGAAAATCTGAAGTTAGCTACGGAAAAGCATTTTCCGTGAAATGTTAATAACGGGAAAAAAAGGAAAATTTATTAAAAAGTTCCCAACAATTTGTCTTAATCCGGAAATGCTATCTGTACAGTCTTAATTGAATACAGTAATGGAATAATGTCCGTTGCAGCAATTTGAAGCACGTGCAACTGCCATCCGCTAGGAAATGAATTAAAACAATTGACTTTCTTGGGGATACTCTTTTCATAACCTTTAATTAATGCGAACGTGGAGGAAAATGAATAAGTAAAATATTTATTTGGAATGTTTTCTCTGGGAGATGGTTATTTTTAAATCTTTGCCTTTCAACCAAACCTCACATAATATTTCGAAACTTCTTTCTTTTATGACTTTTATTTCTAATATGAGCATTTCTAGATTTCTGCTCAAAAATTTTCAAATTAATAAATCATTTTAGAGCATATTGTCAAGCAAAACAGCTCAGTATTTGGGCAAAAGCAGCTAAAACAATAATGATATTGCTCTGAAAACAGGTAGATGAAAATATTAATTTGCTGCTATCACTATTTTCATAAGAGTTGCTTGAAATTATTTGACTAAATGAATCATATCGTGGTGTCATTAGTATTTTGCAAAAACATTATAATGAAAGTTTGAAACGATTAGAATTCTAAGTAATTTTAAGACACAGAACATGCAAAAGACAACTGTCCACGCATCCACCTCTGGCAAAAATTCCAATCTTTATAGAACTAGGCATGAAATTGGACATAGTTTCGGTAGCAATCCGAGAAATTGCAGTCTATGCAGCTTATATTAGATGTCACAGTTCATCTGTGACAGTGCTGGCGAATGTTGTCGTGTCAATCACTATCCTAACCAAGTACCTAGAAGTAAAGATAAACAATATGTGCAATGTATGTCTTCACACTTTTCCATTTAAAGGTGAGGTTATGGATACTCCGAAGATATGGTATAACAATGAGAATTAAAACTTCAGTAATGTAATGACAGTTAGTTAAAGTAATAGAGATGAAAGGGAAGTGTACTCCCAATGTTACTCCAGAATATTAGTCTAGCTAATGGGTCAGTAATACGATGAAGAATGCATGCTTTCAATGTTCTTTCCCTTCGGTGCTCTGCTCATAAATGCGTTATTGTAATTCTGCAAAAAAAAAGAGCTGGTTTCTTCCAAAACGACAACATTAAGCCAGGAATGTGACTATGTGCGTCACTGAACTCATCATTGTAGACCTGATTCTTGTGCTGCAACGTCCTATGATACCAAATAACAATGCAGATCTCACTCACCAATGCAAATATGTCTGTCATCTCTCAGTCTCTCAGAGCCGTAGCTGGGATTTTCAGTGTTCGGAGACAAATGAGGATTTCACGCCCCCTTGTTTTCCAAGAATTTTACATCAATTTGGCTGGATGTTGCGCCCAAAGGCAAGTACCCCTAACTGCGTCACTGTTATTGCTTCTATTGGTGGATGCAGGCCATTGAAACCTAGCACATCGCACTGTGTGGCTCTACTTGACTTATCGACTGCAGATTTTCATAACAGATATCAGGCCTCGTCCAGCGGAAGGATTATTGTGCAAAACAATAATTCTTAGCTGCGGATTATTGTGCAATACAATAATCCGCAGCAGCTACTCTAGTGGAGTATGAAATGCTTAGTCAACTGAGGATGAGAGATTTCACCCAATAAAAGAAATGCTTGTCCGTTATATTGATCCCTGCTGTCGAGCACTTCCTAAATGGTAATGCCCCCTCCCAAAAGGGTAATGTCCTAAAAAGTTTTTATATTTCTTTGTATAAATGTTTTAGCAAGTTCTTCGGCTTGTTCCATGCCATATAGACTTTAATTCGCTTGCAGTTGTTCGAAATTTCTGATTACTTTTTGTAATCTGTAAATGTTTTTTTTTCTATGAATCATAATTATAGAACAGTTGGAAGAAAATACCTTCAGAAAAGAAAAAAGAAATTGTTAAAATTTTGGAAGAATTTTCTGATGACAATTCAGATTCAAAAATTAGTTATGAAGAATTTAATACAAAAGACTAGATTATTCCAACTACAACAAGTAAATCTCGATTCAGCAAATAATAGTTTTGTCATTCCTTCTAATGGGCAGCTCCACAAAGCTTCGCCATCTTATTCAGAGGAAGAATAATACATGTCTTTAAAATGTCCATATTGTACAGATTCCAGAAATAAAATTCTGACAAATGAAGTTGTGGAGGTCAAGGATTTAGTCGTCAACGAGAATTTAATCGAGAACAAGGAAATAGCCGTGATTGAAAAGATGGCAAAAAAAGAAGAAATTTAATGAAAAGAGGAAGAAATAGAAAAAGACTTTACAGTGGCCAAAAAAAAGCATGTGTTTCATCAAATTCATTTGGCAGACTTCCACTGCAAAATGTTTTACGAGGATCAGGAGGGTCATCCTCATTTGCTAAAAGGGTTGGGAATACAAGTAGCGCATGCAGACTTTTTATTAAAGAAGCCGAAGCTTGTGAAATGTGGAGAAACCAAAGGAGGAGATTGTTATTTGAAGAGCTAGATGCTTTCATTGCTATGTTATATATTCATTTCGCTTTCGTTATTCAAAGAAATTTCTATTTTGAGTTCATGGTTCATGGCTCATGCCCTGGAGCACAAACTTTTTCTGTTAAACAATACCTAGAGGTGAAATCTTGAAAATAATATATATGTAAGTTTTGATTTGAAGTCAACTAGATCGCAAAGATTAAAACTGATCTATTATTTCTTGCTTCAGAGGTAGGAAATACCCTAATTGAGAACTGTTTATTGTGTTTTTAGAAAGACAAAATGCTACTTTATTAATGTCTGCGCCATAAACTGTTGGGAAGCATGTCGTCTATCGGTACATTAAGCCCTTTTATAGCATAGGAAGAAATAATGATAATTTCTTTCCATCTTTGAATTGATAAAAATCAGAATAAAAGGATTAGTAATGTTGGCACAGTGAACGGTGCAAAACATTTTGTGCAGAGTATGAAATTAGTAAAATTCCTTTACTTCCTTGAATTTAGAAATTATTGAAGAATAAAGAAATTAGTCTATCAGTTATTCTCAGTTAAAAGTCAATTATGGAGGGAAAAATAATCATGTTTTCTTTAGGACTGCGAAACAAGAATTGTGTTATAGTAAAATCCTCAAGCATGGTAATATATCTGTTCGGTCGTATCACAGGAAAACATAACTAACGATAACAAACATTCTTCCCAAAATGTTCATAACCATAACAAAAATGTTCATCGAAATTGGCAAATTGCATCAAATCAGAAAGACACACCTAAGATTATTAGCTTTTACAATGGACCCAAGTATGCAGAAGAAGATTTTACCAAATGTATTGAAAATACTTTTCTAAGTCTTTAAGCCGACGTTGATCAGCATATATGCTTTTTGCAAGCTTTGATATATCTAAGATAAATGCACGGATCGTATATAAGTAGAGTGTTGGTAATGCAAGCAT